CAGTGCCAGGAGCCGTGTTCCTGACTGGTGGTGTTCCAGTGCCGGGAGCCGTGTTCCTGACTGGTGGTGTTCCAGTGCCAGGAGCCATATTCCTGACTGGTGGTGTTCCAGTGGCAGGAGCTGTGTTCCTGGCTGGTGTTCCACTGGCAGGAGCCGCATTTTTAGCTGATGGTCCAGTGGCAGGAGCCGCACTTTTAGCTGGTGTTCCGGTGGCGGGAGCCGCATTCCTGGCTGGTGCTCCAACGCCGGCAGCCACATTCCTGGCTGGTGTTCCGGTGCCGGGAGCCGCATTCCTGGCCATTGCGCTACTATTTGAGTTTATAGCATGCTGCTTCTGGGCCATTATTTCTTGGCACCTATTTTGTTTGCCTGTGGTGCCTGGACCAGCTGGCTTCCGATATATTGCTTTACTCAGCACACCAGCATTGCCTGTGCCAACAAGGCCACTAGAGGTGACTGTTGATGCAAGCGTCGCCCCATGTGAAGCTAGAGCTTTGGTCTTCTTCATGATTACTGGTGCTCTAAACACAGGGATGCTTTTCCCAACTGTGGGTAGCTGCTTCTTCTTCTGGCTGGCAGTAGCGCCTTGAGCTCCAGGAGCAATTTTGACACCTTTGCTTTTATCAGAATAATCTGTAGTCAAGCATCCTTGGGCAACAAAGCGATCGAACTCCAGCATGTCAGCATCCTTGGGATCTATCATCTCCTCGGCTTTGGGATCTACCATCTCTGGCTGCTTCACCATCTCTGGCTGCCTCACCGTCTCTGACTGCCTCACCATCTCTGGCTGACTCACCGTCTCTGGCGGCCTCACTGTCTCTGGCTGCCTCACCATCTCTGGCTGACTCACCGTCTCTGGCTGCTTCACGTCTTCAGGAAACAAGTCCTCCATCGTGACTACACAAAATGTTGAGTCGTCGTCAATCTCCATATTGTCGCATGGGCCAGGCACTGGTGTGGTGCTCAATGTTCTATCAGGTTCCAACAAATGTGCACTAGCAGATTGTTCCGGGGGATTAACTCCTGCAACTTCTGGCACAACATTAACTTGCTCGGTTGACTGTGTTATCAAAACCGTAGGAGATGGTGTAGGGGCACTGCAGTTTAGAAGTTCTGGGTGTTGAGCACTGCCAGTCTGTGTTCCAGGCTCGCCAGCCATGGTGGATGCTTTAGAGCTTGTAGAAGTTTTTGAAGACCCTTTTCCTCGAGATCTTATGTGCACAGCTTGCGGGGATTGTGCAGCTTTCAATAAATTGGTGGCGATGCTTGCTGTGGCGATTCGTCCACCGGCAGCAATAGCTGCAGCTTGTATAGATGAAGGAGCATTTGTAGGATTTGCTTGTGCAGTTTGCTTCTTAGAGCTATTTCGTGACTTGATTGAAGCATTTGACACTTTTGAGGGCGCAGCTTGAGGAGGAGCCTGTTGCACCCGAGGAGGTTGAACCTGCACTTGTGCTGACACAACCCCAGGGGCTGCACTTGGCACCGGTACTGGCAACGAGAATGATGATGATGTTGCAGATTTTAACTCAGGTGCCGCAGCACCAAATACTGGAGCAGAATGTTGAGTGCTTTGTTGTGAAGCTCCTACATGAAAAAGCTTCAATGAGCACCAAAAGGCTAGCACAAGGCACTCCAAAGATGCCAGAATGGATTTACATCTCAGATACGCAACGAAGCTATAGAACAATGTTTGACTTGTTGACACTTTCGGTAAAGAAGCATTATTCTAAATGAGAGCTGTCTGTACTGACAATTTATAAGAATTTTATAAATACCTGATCTTAATGTAGACAATCCACCAGGCTTCCCCATAGGCATATCAAGAGCCATAAAGAATGCCTTTTGAGTAGCTTTCATATCATATCCCCCGGTGACTGGTTTAGCTTTAGCAGGCTTGGTTGTTGCTTGACGCTTGGAAATTACTGCCCATCTCTGAAAACAACAGCACACGTTACCTAATTACTCTACAGACAAATATGTACACCGAGAGACATGGATGTCCCATCAAGCTAATCATTATACTATGCATCAGTTATATGCGAATGAGAACTAAACAACCAGACCAAGTAAGGTTGAGATGGAACTTTATCTAGGCACAGATCACAAGAAAAGGAACCTAACTACTGCAGCAAGAGGCACATGTATTTGCCTACTTACCTTAGAATATTTGCAAAGCATGTTACCAAGTTATTACAAGTCGGGAAAACTTAAGGTAAACCGAATGGATGTAAACAATGATGAACTGCAGCACAATAATAGATGCTAGTATGCATTTTACAAGGTGACCATAGAGTTACCTGAGACAATTGACCATAAGTTCTTGTGCTATCGAAGTTATATTTACGCAGAATGTCCAGCCAATTTCCTTCACCACACTTATGTACACCAGCCATTAACTCTGCATCCTCATCCTTAGTCCATGCTTTAGTCTTCTTTGTCTTTTTATTATGAGGTCCATTCCCATCAAAAGAATCAGGAGATAACCCTGTATGGGGTGCCTGCTTTGAGTTGGAAACTGGACCTGTACCATTTGTTAGACGATGGCTCTGAGCAAGCTGTTTGTCAGATGAAACACGTGGTATCTTTTCATTTGGAGTGTTTAGCAGAGGAACATCTGAGTTAGCACGATGACTAGAACCTTGCTCGCGTGAAGGTCCATACATCAAGATCTGCAATTTATATGATAGGATCAAGTACATTGTGCATATCTAAGATAACAAGAAATGAAGTGCAAATATGCAACAGAGCAAATAGTACATGGCATGACTGCATTACACTCAACATAGTTAGTAATCAATACGAAGTTGCTAACAAAACTAGAGATTTGCCTTTTCCATAAATGATGACTATTTTACGTAAGTGAAATGGAAGCTGACATAAGAACTGTTTTTTATAGACTAATATGCCAGTGATAGAAGGATGACATTTTGGGTGTAGACATGGTCCCCAAATACAACTGTGAGTATACTTGATTTCAATTGCAATAAGAACAAAAAAGTTTCATAACTAAAAGCATTTTTTGAGAAAAAATCTATGATTATTATTTTTATCTGTCTAATTTAATATCCCAAAAGATATTCACTGCCAAAGATTACAAGGTTGACTGTACATATCATCTACTGCCACTCTTTCGTCACTAGAGGGGGCAAACATGATAGCTACCCTTTTCTAACTGGAGGGTGTAAACATTATGACGCTTTAATTTTTGTCTTTCTACATATAAAGGTAGAGATTGACTCATAGTTGCAGTTGCAGAATTGTAGATTAGCCAGTTTTCTGTAGAAACTACGAGTTTGTGAAACTTGAGAGTGTGACTTGTGAGGCATTAGAGGAAGTCCATCTTGTAAATCAAATAAAATGGACCTTTACCCTCTCTGCGATAGAACAAGAAACTTGGGTGAATCATATGAACTCGATCTTCATTGACGAATACAGCCAAACTGTTCACTGTCCT